TTCCTGCTCCTCTGATGCTGCTTGGCCTGCTGTGTTCATCCAGCTCTACACCTTGTTGTCTCAGATTCTTCAGCATCTGCAGTTCCTACTATTTCTAAAAGAAATAAAGAAACAACTTAAACACTCCACTTCTAAAGAAAAAAAATACAAAGCAATCACTCCCAAAATAGAAATGGAAGATGAACACTTAGTTATGGACTGGTTTCCAGAGATACCTGCAGTGAATTATTACTGTACAAGCAACGTATGCAGTTCTATTTTACTGTTCGAACAGTGGATAATCCCAAGAAAAGAACACAAACTCTTTAACACATATGGTCTTCATGGAGGCAATCAGAAAGGTCCAGAAAAAGCTCTGAAAAGTTCTCAAAGACCAACTCAAGAAAAGAATTAGTTTCAGCATTAACAAACTCCGACTCACATCAAACAAACAGCAACTCCACGACTCTATTGATCAGTTTGCGGCAGGATGCTGCAGAAAGAGCATGAATGTGACTTTTCACAAAGAGGAGCTTTCAGAGAGACTCACTGTTCATTTCTCACCCCTATACCAATTAAAATCTGCCGGAAGGAACTTCTGGGCATGAAAAAGGATCAGCTCATTGATGCATTACTTGAAGTTGGATTTAAGTATGAAACCATATTAGTAAGTCAACAATAATGACATGCTTCAAGTACAGCCAACACAAATGTTATTGCCAGCAAAATCTGTTACTGACGTGGTTTACTGGACCCACACAAAGGCTGTCCAGCTTCTTTTTAGATCTGTAAAGCAGTTGACACCAAAGGGCGTTGGGCATGCATAATCAGGGAATCCGATTTTAAAGGCCAAGCCAAATTCCACAACACAGTAAAGGAAATTGCAACTTACAGTAAAATTTGTCATATATGTTGACCACAATTTGCCTGTAATGGAATGCTGGCTTTAATATCTAAAGGGCCAGAGAATAAGTTTGCAGACATTATGTTGCAATTATACAAACCTCTAGTTAGACCCCACTTAGAGTATGGTGAGCAGATCTGGGCACCACAGCATAAACTTTGATCATGGAGGGTGTTCAACACAGGTTTACAAGGATGATACCTAGACTTCAGGGGCAAAGTTATGAAGAGAGATTAGACAAATTAGGCTTTTATTCTCCAGAATTTAAAAGGTTAAGGGTTGATTTAATTGAAGTCTTCTAACAGGGAAAGACACAGTAGATAAAGATAACTATTGCAATTGGTTGAAGGTTTCTAGAAAAGGGGTCACAGTCTAAGAACTAGAGCCAGTTCATTCAGGAGAGATGTTAGAAAGCACTTCTACATGCAAAGAGCCTTTCAAACTGGGAGGTGTTTTTCCCCCGAGGATCAGTTTTTGGGTCAACAGTTCCTAACACTTTTTATGAACAATTTAGACTTGGGTGCAAGGAGCAGCATTACAAAATTTGCATTTACCAACAAACTCCAGTAATCTACTATGTATTTTGGGTAGGTTTAGTGTTTTTGTACAATTTAACTAGCTGATAAGCTGGAAGGAAGTTAAATAATAATTAGAAAAGATGCAGTTGGGTATTGCGATGGGAGAATTATTTTTCAGAATTGAAAAGTAAATAGGTTACTCCCTCAATGATACTTCCTTTGTAATCTTATGATAGCTAAGGCCTACAGCACCAACACCACTGGCTTTACTGTGTTTAGAACACAGAACAGCACAGCACAGCACAGCACAGCACAGAAACAGGCCCTGTGGCTCATCATGTCTGCACCATGATGCTATTCTAAACAAATCCCATCTGCCTGCACGTGGTCTATCTCCCTCTATTCTCTGCCTATTCGTGTGTCTGTTTAAATGCCTGTAAATATTGCTATAATATCTGCTTCTCCTGCCTCCCTGGCAGCATGTTCCAGGCACTTACCAACCTCTATGTAAAAATGTTGCATTGCTCATCTCCTTCAAATTTTCCATCTGTCACCTTAAACTTGGTTTTGATATTTCCACACTGGGAAAAGGACTCCGACTATCCACCCTATCTATGCCTCTCATAATTACCTAGATTATCCCTGTTGCCCTTTCTTAAACAAAGGTACAACATAAAGATTACAGAATAGCCAATCACTGTTCAATTTATATATTTTTGATCTTACCATCCTGCTAGTTCTGTTGTCCATACTTTATGATTGGCAACTCAGCCTTTTGTAAAAAAAAAGGTAGAAAATGCGTGATTGAAAATACATGGAACAAACAATAAAATTACATTGAATTAGCTCTTATGGTAGAGTGAAACTGTACTTCACACTAATGGTTTGAAGAGAGTGGATTGAAATAATTTTCTTTTACACTTCCTTTCTTCCAGTACAGCATTAATATATGTCATACAGTAATTTGATGCCACTCAAAGCAGGTACAGCTTTAGGGACAGTAAGCAATTAACTGCCGAGAAGAGAAAATTCAGTTGAAACCAATAGTCATGAATTGAATTTGAGCTCCTGTGTAAAAAGGCTTTCAGTGCCATATCTAATTAAAGGCCAGCGTACTACACTAGCTTCACAAGAGCTGGGTCTAATTAAATTCTCACGGTGAATGCACAACATGTGACACCATAGGAAATGTTCAAATTGGCATCCTTTCAAAGCAAGTAATGGAATTAAAGATATTTTCCCCTAATTGTAATAATCATTCAGGCTTTCTTTCAACAAGGCAACATATTTACAGCTAGGACTGCAGATAAAAAAAACATGCAGCCTGTATCACGACCATCAGATATAGGAAGAGGAGTAGGCCATTCAGCCCTTTGAGCCTGCTCCATTCAATAGGATCATGGCTGATCTGAAATTCCTCACATCCACTTACTTTCCTTTTCCCCATAACCCTTGATTCTCCTCCTAATCAAGTATCTATCTCAGGTCTTAAATATACAAGGGCTCTACCCCCACACCTCTCTGTGACAAAGAGTTCCAAAGTTCTACAACAAACAACCCCTGAAAAGAAGTTCCCCCACATCTCAGTCTTAAATTATCACCCATTTATTCTGAGATTGTGCTCTCTGGTCTAAGACTCTCCCACTGGAAAATACCCTCTCAGCATTTACCCTGTCAAGCTCCTTAAAAATGCTCTGTTTCAATGGGCTGGAGTGAAACAATACTAACAAAATCCTAAACTTAACCAAATCAGCCACCTCAGGCCCAGGATTTCATCAGCATAATTCAACATTATCCATCAGTAGATAAGTATATCACACATGTCCAGGGCTGGTGGAAATTGAACCTGGATCTTCACCATCTATCAATATGCTTAAGCCTTCTGTCACCAGATGGAAATCACAGGAAATTCATTGCTTAATAAACCAGAACCAGTTCCTCATTTAGTTCATGCTTCCTTCAATTTGATTGGACCTCAGGTTAAATTATTATCGTCATGGTGCCTTTGTGATTACTGCTCAGACACCAAATGCTGGTACAGTGGGTTCCATTAAAAACAAGTCAGTGATCTAGATGTAGGTCTTGTAATCCTGACCAGGGATTATGATATCCCTGTAACATGGTGAGCTGAAGGTCACCATTTCTGGCGCTCCTCAGCAAGCTCCTTTGTAAATGCATCCTTGTCCCTATTCTAGATCCCCCGGAACAAATACTAACCAACAGAAAACGGCAAAAAAGACTGTTAATCCGGTAACAGCGCTTTATAAATTCTCGGGTATCCGAAATGATAATTCCATTTTCCAACATGATGAATGTATCCGAGTACGGGTTTTTAGATACGAGTATAAGGCACCATAATTGATTAAACTACATCCAATGATCGATGACAATGAAAACCATTTAAACCCACGAAGCTTCAACGTCTAACAAGAATTACCACAGATTTGAACTGGTATTTCTAAAAAGGTGTTGTGACTCGTGAGTGTACGTCCTGAACTCAACATTCGCCTTGATTAATGCTGTAGATAAACATTTCATTAAATATCCCTTCTGCTGATGATATCGTTACCAGCAAATGTTTGTAACAATTTGTATCCAATCCCTATGCATTAAATAGCCATCAAAGTAGGACATTGAGATTTGCAGCGAGGTTCAGGGTCAAATATTAACACGTGTGTTGTATAATTTGATTCCCTGCATCCACACGTGAAATATGTTGTAGGGCTGACAATTCTGGTATTGGATAGAGACCTGTTTAGACTGAAACCGTACTGGGTAATGTTTCACGATTTAAAACAAAAGCTTTCAGACTTTACAAAAGTTGAGGGAAAAAAAAAAAATCATACTTTGTGTTGCTTTCTACTTTCCTACAAAATAATGCAAATTTTGTAGCCTGCTCATTGATTTTGTAGGTGGTGATTGTTATCCAATCGTTCTTTTCCTTCATAACGACGTTTTTCTTTGTTTCAACTATTTATTTATTTTTCCCTTTTATAAATTATCATGGATTCTGCAGATGTAAGAATTCCTGGTAAGATATTCCATGTTTTGCTGCTCTGTATATTAAATTTTAAATTCAGTCACTTTATGTTTTGGAATTATCTTAAATGCATGTTTCCTGATTATTGACCTGCACAAACACCGTTTCTTCCTCCATTCAACTTAACAGAACTATAATTAACTTTTGAAAACTCCTCAACAGTCTCTTCATTGAGTACTCTCCATTTTTCTAACTTTTCAATGACAATCTCTTGCTGTTTGTATCACCATTTTTCTGCAACCTCTTTATAGTAATGTTCAAATGATGTTTTAACTAATGACTTAAGATTAAGTGTTATCTTAATTTTTGTGCTGGCATCCTTGGTTATGAATGTTGGGATTTTATATTTTTTAAAATCATCCTTGCTAACTTTGAACTTTTTTTTTGTTAGTATTGTCAATGTTTTTTTTTGGAAGTTAACCTGTAAGTCTTGTACCACTTGGTGTATGTTGTTTATTGTAACTGAGTGACTTGCATATACTAAGTAAATTGCTCTATGGAATGGAGATATTTGGTGATCCCTGACCTTACAAAGTTAAAATTATGTGAACTGAACCCTGTAATGGTTAGTTGGATATCTACTTGGGGAAACTTGTTTTCAACAACTTGAGAATCAATGAATTAAAGATAATTGGATCTGAAAGCTAGTTACAATTATAGAATCTGAGCTGTAAACAGCATGCAGAAAACTATGAAGGGAATTTATTTAAATTTAGCTTTAAAAGTATTTTCAAATCTTTGTTTCCTGATACTTGAAACAATAAGCTGTTTGTGACCCATCAGAATAATGCTGCTATTAATAATCTTTTATATATTGTGTCCAGTCAAGCTTAGAATATGCTCCTTTTTTAAGAGCATCTTCATTTGCAGACTTGACCTATAATATTCAGTAGGTTGTGCTAGGTAGTTGTGCTATTGAAACAGTAGCTGAGCTTATTCCATAGCAATGTGCCTAGGATTAAGACCCTATACTTCCTTTTGTTTCCCTTTTCCTTTCTCTGACTCTGTTCTTCCATGTACCTATTGAACAGTAGTTATCACTGCCAGATAAGCATCCAACACTTTGAAGTTTCTTTCAGGTGTGATTTACATCCTCCTCGTAGAACAAATGTTTGTTCGACATTACTAATGTTGATGTATTTTTGTCCCAATGAAATGGAAATTACTATCGCCATTGGAGCCAATGTTATGTTACACAATTAAGAAATGTACTTTTTGCGAATATTAGGTGAATTCTTCCAAGTCTGGGCTACAACTGCTGAAGAACTTGCAGAGCTTCCATTTTATGATGCTGATATTAAGGAGCTGTTTGAAGGTGAGATTTGAAGGGATTCTATGAACATTTGAGTTAACTGAATAATTAAATGTTTCTTCAATAATTAAGATTTTCATCTGATTAAGAGTTAAATATTAATGCAAGGCTGCATTAGGGCAACGACTTGCATAAATATTTTGAATGGAAAAAGGAATCCAGACGGCTAAATATTTTTGCCACTCTAAAGGATCAAGAAATGAAATTTATTTTCCCTTTGGAAGAGTTAAGCAATGTTATTTTTTAGATATTTTTCTGTCTCGCCATTCTGAAAATGGCCAGCTCTTGGATAGTAGATTAATAACAATCTGAAGGGGGGCAGATTTTGCTGAGAAAATATTTAATCATTTGTAGGGTTTTCATGTGTGATCATTGTTTAAATGAAAGCGATTTCAGAGCAAGTCTACTGATCCACCACTTAGTATAAATCAACAAAAGCATAATGTGGAACACCATGACCCTCCCTTGTTCCCCTGTCACCATCAAGCTAGATGACCAACCTTAATTCAAAGAGTATAGAAGTGAATGCAGGGAGCATTACCAGGCATACTGGAAAATGAAGGCTATCAACAAGCCAAAGGTCATGTGGACGTAGTGCATCTAAGGTTGTGCAGACATCTGCAAAACGCAAATTTTGAGTCCTCTTAATGTGTTTTTCTCCCCAAGTTATTTGAACTGCGGTCAAATTTTTTAAATAAAGATCTTCGTTTCTCAACTTGAGTCCATATTAGATTGGTTCCGAGGAAGGGTCACTGGACTCGAAACGTTAACTCTGTTTGTTTCCTTCACAGATGTTGCCAGACCTGCTGAGCTTTTCCACCAGCTTTGTTTTTGTTCATATTGGATTTAATTTGATTTTTGAACTTCTGATCCTTGCCAAGATTGTCCTAACAGAGGGTGGGTTGTCTCCCCTCTGATTCTGCCTCTCCCTCAGTACACTAGTTGAGGAAGCTTACATTCAAGCTTTTGCTACATCTAGATTTGCCTGTCAAAACACATTCCTCACCTACCACCAACTTGCACACCCCATAAACTCATTCTTCAAAGTTTGGCTACCTAATCCATAACTTGTACTAAACACAGTTAAATGCCCACAGCTGTGCCAGTGATTCAGTATTAATTTTTAAAATTGTTATCCTTATTTTTAATCCCTCCAGGACCTGTTACTTCGCAGATCTCTGCGCCTCTTCAGTTCTGGCTTCTAGGGCATCCTGATTTTTAGCTGCTCATTAGTCTATGGCTGTTTCCAGCCATCAAAGTCCAGGCTCTGGAGTTGCCTTTTTAAAGCTTTTTCCCTGCCCTCCTTTTAAGATCTTCTTAACATCTACCTCTCTCAAGTTTCTGATCATCTGTCCTTATGTGGTTTGGAGCAAAATTGTCTGACTATGCTTCAATGAAGTACTGTTTTCACTTGCAATAAATGCAATTTAAGGAGGCCTACTGTGTCCAGATTAGCTTGTGACATGTTTGAAATTGTGCTAGTATGCTCTCACTAATTATGGCTGCATAATCCATGTGCATGCAAAGTATAAAGTGATTTTCATAAATTTTCAGTATTTTGGAGTGAAATAAATGTAAATGGAAATGGATCATCTGGAATCAATGGAGCCTCACCAATGAAACAGTCAGAATGCTAGTAATACCCTTTTCCGTTAGGGGAAAGGGTATAGAATGAGCTCATTTTGGGGGGAAAGACACTAAAAAGCTATTTAAATTCAGATTGTTGTTTTATTGTAGCATTGAGATGAATTTCACACCTTTTTCTTGCACTGTTGACTATATTTGTCAAAAATAAAGTTTGATGTCTAGTTTGTGAGCAGGAGACCTGAAATTTTCCTGCTAATTGAAATTTAAGTTCTGAAGAAATGTGGCATCATTTGATCAATGTACAGTACTTCTGATTTAAAATAAATTGTTACATTAGTGTAAATGTAATGACTTTAATCCCTGATGCAACATCAACATGATATAGTTGGGCTAATTGTTTTGCTTCAATTTATCAAATACAATCTCAAACACATGACAAATGTTGTTTGGAAATACTCATGCTTTGAAGTCATTTATTGAAAACTTTTTTTTGTAACTTTGAGTTTAGTTTGCAATCGAGTAAATGCACGGAGAACTTACAAAACACGACGTTCCAAACAGAAAAATAAACTGACTCGTGAAATGGGAGAGAGATGTTCTGCAGTGGGGGAGAAGAGGAGGAAGCCACCAAACTATTTTGTTTCAATACCTATGACAAACCAGCAGGTACAATGATCTGAACATCTAAAGTTGTATCCTATACTCACCTAAACTGCTTTTTCTGAGTTTGGGTTTTTTTGGTGTTTGAAACACTGGTCTGTTGACTAGATTGCAGCAATGTTGCATCAATGAGCAGAACCTTTCTTTAAATACAAACCAGGAGAATGCTGGAGAAACTCAACAGATGCTGCCAGATCAAGGAAAGAGCAAATATTTCCAGTTTGGTATCACCCTTCAGATCTAAGCTTAATATGAACCCTATTCTCCAAGTCATATATTGCATCAAGGCCCATTTGCCCTTGACTACTGTGTTTGCTAATCTACATTGGCTCTTCATCTGGTGGCAGTTCCTTGGTTTTTTTTAAATTCTCCTGTTTAAATCCTTTCATGACCTCTTATTACCACTTTGAACTTCAGAACCCTCCAATGATGACCTCTTGCATGTCTGTGATCTTTCATCATTTTACCACTTGAATCTGTGCCTTCAGGTGCTGAACCCCTAAGCTCTGGAGCTGCCTTGCTAAACTTTGGGATCACTGTTTCCTCTTTAAAGATGCTCCCTGGTCCTCGGTTTGAAATGCTGGTTTTAAAGGCTTTCCCAACATATGCCTATTTCTATATGCTCAAGTGATTCACTGTGTGTTTCAAAGACAAATTGTTGTTGAAATGTTGCTTCTATGGCATCTCCTTGATTCATGGACATTTTATATCTAAGTTTATACTTGATGATTTAAATCCATATTTTATTTTAATACTTAGTGAAAATGAGTGGTTTTCTGGCATAAGTTTGGAAAATTGACATTAAGATACATTGGGAAAGATATAACTTGAGTTTCATGTAACTCTCTATTTCAAGACACCAAGTTTGTGAAAACTGACGATCTGATGTGCTGATTTGTTTTTTGTTAGTTATCTGTGCCTTTTCAGCAGAAGTTGACTTAGAACCAGCTTTAAACTGAAAATCATTGGCATCACTGTAGCACCAGATATTGCACCTACAAAAGTGGATGAGGTGGAAATGCCCTAATTTTGTGCACTATTAAAATCTGTCCCTCTGCGCATAGCTTGCTGAGGAAAGGAAGACAAATCAATCATCCAGTCATTATAGTAATGCATCCAAAATAGGCATTCAAATATACTTTTTTTATAAACAACTTCATTATCTAATTCCAAGGAGCAATGTAGAATTGTACTTTGTCTTCTGTATTTACACTAGTATGAGATTTATTTCTGATTTGTCTCTTTAAACTATTTTTTCCCTTTTTTTTCTTGGTACAGATTTTGGACAAAATTGAGGAAATCCAGGAACTGCTAGTGACCAAAGAACCAAAACTGCTTCCAGCTGTGATTCCTGTTGGAAGGATGCATCTGACCATCGTTGTTGCTCACCTAAATACACCAGCAGAAGTAGAGAAGTAAGTGTGATTTGATGTGGAGTTCAAAGATGTTTCTTTCCCTCCTTGCCCCACCATCTTAACTCTAACAGGAGTAACAAATGAATTGTAATAATGAATGGATACGGAGTCCACTTTCAAGCCTGATTACATCGTTAAAATAAATGAACCCAAATGTCACTTATTTTAACTGATTACTATAACATTAAAAGATGCAATTTCTTTTGATAATTGCAGCCATTCAGCTTATTTCATGATTTTCTAGTATGGAATAAGATTTATTTAAAAGTCCAATTGAATTTTGGAAATTTGAATTTCTACCTGAATACAAATTGCCAAAGAGAAGGTGCAAAGGAAGCCATTGTAAGCTATCCAAAGATGCAACTGAATCTTGCGACAGCTGCATTAGTCTGCCAGGGTCTTGGAACGAGAAAGCCACTTGAAATCCCTGTCTTAATGGCTCACTGTGCTGGAATGTGGGTGGAAGCTTGTAACTTAATGAGTCGAAATAAGGCAGGAAGATTTTGCCTAGCTTGTGCTACAGTGAAGATCGCCTGTAATATATTCAGTGTGAAGAACAGCCCTAAGGATGTAAGTTACCAATTTCAAAAAAACATAAGCCAAACCATCAGAAACTAAGAATCACGCTGAACTAATTTCAGGAGAATTGTATGACAGCTTAGTTGTGTATACCTGAAGTGCTTTTTCCGGTTGTATGAAGATGCAGGGGTAAAATCAATTCTATAGTTAAGTTGGGTGCAAAGGTGATTAGTCTCCACACACTGTAATGTTTTGTAACAATAAAGTGGACTCCTATTAGTACCTGCAAAGTTCAAATTTATTTTAAAGTTATCAGTCTAAACAGATCCCATTGAAAAGGAAATGTCAGATGTAATTTCATTTTGAGAAATGATGCATTTTTTTTCTAAAGGGCTAAGGAGAGGTAATATACAGTCATGGCACTTGAAAGTACAGGTGGGACCTGAGGATGCATGTACTTTGATCGTTAAAGATGGCAAGATAAGTTGAGAGTGGTTAACGCTAAGTTCTTGGGTCTAATAAATAGAGGCATTCAGTCATCATTGCCATCACCTGTCGCTTGATTCCAGGATGATATCATGTGACTGAACAAACTGACTCTCTCCATGGATCTTCGGGCAGATGGAGCAGCGTGCCCCATGAGTTATTGGACTCGGGAGTGCAGGATTTTCTTATCCTTAACTGCCACTGCTTTGCCTCACATTTTAAGGTGTTAGACTCTGGATATAACAGAGCTTCATGGACCAGTTGCTGGTCACTATGAACAGCTGACAGCAAGCTTCTGTGTTAATACCAATTGTTGCTTCAAGTAGAATTTGAATACTTCTTGGTTTGTTTTATTTGTATCCCCAAGAACCACCTTTTTAAGGAGTGAACAAAACAGAACTTGGTAGAGGAGATAACAAGGTGCAGAGCTGGATGAAAACAGGCCAAGCAGCATCAGAGGAGCAGGAAGGCTGACATTTCGGGCCCAGACCCTTCTTCAGAAAAGGAGATCCTTTTTAACCGGTGGACACGACCGTAAATAGCAACAGGAGTTGGCTGTTCAGCTTGTCGAGCCTGCTCTGCTATTCAATAGAATCATGGCCCATCTGACGCTCTTCACATCTGCTTTTCTGCCCTTTTTCCGTAACGTTTGATTCCCCTACTGATAGCGAATCTATTTATCTTCACGCTAAATATAAACAAGGCCTCTGCCTCCACAGCTCTCGAAGCTAGGTCGGCACGAGTCCAGATGGGCAATGGTGGGGAGGGGGAAGAGTGGGATAGGGTGGTAGCACTAAGAATGTAGTTAGTTTGGAGCTAGACAGTTTTAATCTGCCTAGCATTTCCTGAGTAACTATACAAGTAAATTAAATCGAACTGTCTAACTCTGGAGACATTTTCATAATGTCCTGGGAAGCTAGGGAATTGCAAATTCAAACCTTCCAGGCAATTATTTTCTTCTTTCATATGATTTGGGTGTTGCTGGCTAGTCCAACATATAATGGTCATCCTTACTTCGCTTGGAGAAGGTAGTACTCGGCTTCCACTTTGAACCGTGGTCCTCCTTGGATGTTAGTGCACCCATAGTGATGTTAAGGGAGTTTCAATGTTTTAATTTCCTGATAGTAAAGGATTAATGATCTAGTTTCAAGTTAGAATAATGTGTGGTTTGGAGGCAAGTTTGAGATGTTGGTGTTCCCATAGATCTGCAGCCCTAGTCCTTCTAGGTGGTAGAGGTCACGTAAGTGGAAAGTGCTTAACGGAAAGGAGGTGGTGAATTTCAGCAATGTATCTTGTGGATGGTGATCGCTCCCGCTGTATGTTGGGTGGTGAAAGGAGTGAATGTCCAAGCTGTTGGGTGGGATCTAAGGTTTTAGAGTAGACTTGTAGCTCTGGTTGTGGTTGGTTGGCTCGCCGAGCTGTCTAATTGTTCTGCAGACGTTTCATTACCCTGCTGGGTGACATCATCAGTGCAGCCTCTGAAGTGCTGTTGTTTTCCCACCTGTTGTTTAAACTCTGGTGTCTGTTGAGCTGGATTTCCTTGGCAATGGAGTGTATATAGGGTCTAGCTCTGTTTATTGATGGCTTTCTTAGTGGAGAACCAGGTTTCTAGGAATTCCCGTGCTTGTCTCTGCTTCACCTGTCCCAGGATCCTGGTGTTGTCCCAATCGAATTGGTGGTTTTCCTTATTCATGTGGATAGAGATGAGTGAGTATTGGTCGTGTGTTTTTGTTGCCAGTTGATGTTCAGGTACTCTTGTGGTTAATTTCCTTCCTGTTTATCACAGTCTCTGCAGGGAATCTTGTATATGACATTGGTCCTGTCCGTAGTGGGTAGTGGGTCTTTGGTCTGAGTGAGCAGTTGGCGTAGGGTTGATGTGGGTTTGTGTGCTACTCTGATGCCCAGTGGTCATAGGAGTCTTGTGGTCAGTTCAGATGTGTTTCTGATGTAAAGTAGTGTGATGAGTGTTCTGGGGTGGTGCAGTGTAGTATCTTCCGGGTGTCATTTGTGTGATAGGCATCTTCTGACCCAGTTTTTCGGATATCCGTTGTCCTTGAACACCTGGAAGAGGTATTCTTCCCAGCGTAGCTCTGTGCTGCTGCAGTGTGTTGTTGTCTGTTTAAATAGTGTTCACACACAGCTTCATTTGTGTGTGTTAGGATGGTTGCTGTTGAAGTTCAGTACTTGGTCAGTGTATGGGGCTTTCTTGTGTACCTTTTTTCTTGTTAGGAATTCCCCATTTGTCCTGGATTCCACCATGACATCCAGGAATGGGAGCTGTTTGTTCTTCTCGTCTTCTCTGGTGAATCTGATCCCAGTGAGGGCACTGTTTATTAGTTCGTGCCACTCCTCCAGTTGGTCTGTTTTAATAACGATGAAGGTGTCGTCTACGTAGCGTGTCCATAGTTTTGGTTGGATTAGCAGAAGGGCCATGCTTTCAAATCTCTGCATCACTGCTTCAGCTATTAGTCCCGAGGTCAGTGATCCCATGGGTGTCCCATTGATCTGTTCGTATGTTTGGCCGCTACAGGTGAAGTAGGTGGTGAGGCATAGGTCCAGTAGCTCCAGCATGTTGTCTGTGGAGATGGTGTCACTAGGGTCTTGTTCTTGTTTTAGTAGTGCTGTCATTGTTTCTCTTGCTAGTGGTATGTCTATTGATGTGAATAGGACAGTAATGTCAAATGATACCATGGTCTCGTTGTCATCTATTCTTATGTCCTTGATGGAATTGAGGAACTCCTGGATTGGGTGGGGTGATTTGCTGATGAGATGCTTTAGTCTCCTTTGTAGCTCCCTAGCTAATCTGTGATGGCATGCCTGGTAAGCTCAGATGGGATGCTAACCAACCTGGCTGCTTTGTCCTGGATGATGTCAAGCTGCTTCAATTTTGTTTAAACATCACCCATCCAGAGAAGTGGGGAGTATTTTTATCACTGACCTGACTTGTACGTTTGTGGATGGTGGACAGGCTTTAGAAAGTTAGAGTTGCAGACTACAATTCTCAGCCTGTGACTGTTCCTACAGCTGCAATATTTAAATGGCCATTCCATTCTGTTTCTGTTCAGTGGTAACTGTAGGATGTTAGTGAGGGACTCAATGATAATGCCATTGAATGTCAAGAGAAGTTGTTATCTCGTCTCTTGCTGATAATTCCTTAGTATTTTAGGCTCAAATTTAACTTGCTACATTTTGACTGTTTTGTTGCAGATGGACATGGATTGTTTTGGAATGAGTTGTGAATGTAGTTGAACTTTGTAAAATCATGGAACAATGACAGTGTGTAGGTCACTGACGCAGCTGAAGACGTTTGGAGCAAGTCCTTCTGAGGAGGTGTCATGTTGAGACATCCCCCAAGATTTTATGCACGTCTTCAGCCATGTATCTGGCCACTGTCACAGTCCAGGTGTCCATGACACAGAAGTGTGATGACAACCATTTTCCTATGTGATCATTGTTATTGTCTTGCAGCGGTAATTGTTGTCAAACATTCAACCATTGTGTTTTGTTGACAGCTAAACTGGTGCAAACTTTAGAACTCCTCTTCAATAGTGATCTTTAGGAGGAGGTGACTGAAAGTCCAAATGTATATGGGAGGTAGAATATTTACCCAGTTCTGGGTTGATGAAAGGTTTTTGGCAATATTCACAGACAGGCAGATTCTTTGTTTGCAAGTAGGCTTGTTGTTCTCTTTGGCCTGCTCTGTCATTCAGTAAAATCATAGCTAATCTGATTTACTCCACATTCCTGCCTACATCTGATAACCATTCACTCCCTTGTTTGAATCTATCCACCTGTTTTCAAACACAAAAATTCCAAGACAACCTTTCCTCCCTCTGTTGAGAGGAAAAGTGATAAAGACTTGAAGTCTTCCATTGAGATAAAGCTCCCCTGCTCTGTATTAAAGGGATGACTCCTTTTTATTTTAAAACCCCTAGCTCTGGATTCTCCAACCTTTTCCACATCTGTCTTGTCAAGAACCCTTGGGATCTTATTTC